TAATCCCAGCACTTAAGAGGCAGAAGCAGGTGGATCACCATGGGATTATGGCTAGTCTGGTCTACATAAACAAGTTCCAGGCCAGCTGGGACTATAGGGAGACCCTGCCCAAAAATAAAAAATAAAATAAAAAACAAACAGGAAATTGAGGGAGAAATCAATTCCTTCACAGCTAAGTGGTAATCATAGAAAAGCTCAGTGGCCCAGATGGGTTCGGAAGCCCTGTTCCATTTTCTTATGTATTATACTTTCTTATTAATAGCAAAGATTCCAATAACGCTACACCATTAAAAACTCATTTAACTGTCTCACTGGAATCTGAAATTTCAATCACTGATGCTGATTCATTACGATTAAAATTAACCATTATAGGGCATTTGGATAATTTGGCCACATCAACCACCAGTCCTCTGTGAAGCAGAAATGTCATGGGCTATGGTTGCTATGGCTGTGATTTATCATCCATGTGATTTATGGTCTGGTGAGACATAAACACAAAATGTAAAACTGGCCCTGTTGTGGATGGCTAAAAGTACCATAAGTATTTAACCACCACTGAACTAATCTTAATAAGAAAATGGTAAGAGATATTTATGCTACCTTAGACTGAAAAAAAAAAAAATAGACACACAAGCCAAAGGCCACAGAAGTACACAGTAAGGATAGTGAAATGCCTAAAGCAAGATCTAGATTCTGTCAATGAAACCAGTGGAGGTAAATCAGGTGTCACAGGGAATGTTTATACTATGAGAATTTATTGAGGACCTCAGAAAGTTAAAGATATTAACTTGGTGAAAAATGCAAGTAGTCTGACTTTCAGAACCAGCAGGGATCCCTGGACCTTCTTGGGAACCCCAGAACTACAGAAGTAAGGTGTCAGTGAAGTGGACTAAGCAGACTGCTACCAACCTTACCTGAGGACCACTGGTGCGCTCTCATCTCCTGCAGTCTTTATGTTTCCATGAATTTTAAGCAAAGTTATAAGGAAAGGTAAAGTGAGTTACTATGAGAGGCAACATTTGTAGAGCTGAAGAAGGGAAGACAATGTTCAGATCCATCTTCTGACCATCTTCTGGGATCCATGGTCAGGATTCTATAGCTGGAGGCCTTCATCCCTTTCTGTCACTTACATGTCCCATCTTCACATCTTGGCAATTATGCCAATAGCTTGCTAATTAAAATGCAAGGCTTGGGGCTGGAGAGATGGCTCAGCGGTTAAGAGCACTGGCTGCTCTTGCAGAGGACCAGGATTTGATTCCCAGCATCCACATGGCAGCTAAGAATCCTCTATAACTCCAGTTCCAGGGGATCTGACACCCTCTTCTGACCTCCTTGGGCATTGCACAACATAGGTACACTTACACACACGCAGGCAATACACTCATACACATAAAATAAATAAATATTCAAAATAAAATTCAAGGATTGATGTTTATGTAAAAGAATGATAGTCTGAACTGATTAATGATTTCAACATATCAGAGCAGATGCCTCTAGGATACATCATCACACTGTGCAGGTGAAGAAGGAGCTTCTCATCAGTGGCTGCAGCTTTCTACTCTTCATTATTCAGCTCGTCTCTAATTGGTAAAAGAACATCGGGGACAGAACCACAGAGGCACTCATGAAGCCTTGCTGATGCATACAAAGCACACAGCCCACCTCTACCAGGCTATTCGAGTACCTTTTACATTCATAGCACACCTGTGCACTATAAATTACCTTCCATACATGAAGCAATGACACAGTCTTATATATCAAGTGCAGGCAGAAAACTCTTCTACCCGTATGAAAGTCTCTTAAAAGTGCATTTCTACTTCACTCTCTGTTGTTGGTCTCTACTTTGACTCAATCACAGCTCTTAATGGCTAATTTCAATGCAAATGCAATTAACAGGATGGGTAAAGTGAGAGTAGGAGGAAAAAAAAAAAGGATTAGCAAGGCCAGCAATGGCCTCCCAGCTGCTGCTGCCAAGATTCTTCAATGGAGAGCTCTAATTTAACTGAGCTCCATCTAATTTGGCCCAGGGGCTGAGGCCAGACCAGGCAACTACTCCCTTCCCAGGCTGAGAGATGAACGCCTCCTAGAATTAAGAAATAATAGCCCATTTGACCATTCCCTTTTATTGATAGAACATCATGCCGTGAAGCTCACAAACCTCCTAGGAGATCATTTTAGACCCAGCTGATTTAATTTAATTGATGCTCATGTTGGGTCTAAACATGGGCCTTACACAATGGGAAAGTAATAAAGTATTGTATTTGTGACCAGTATGGAAAATATCCTCTTCAGAACTAAGTCAACCAAGTCATTTACACAACAACCACATGCCATCTATAACCAGGTAAGGGACATAAGAAGAGGCAAAGGATCATGGTCTTAAAACTCGACTAAATTATTAACACACATTGCTGGGGGAGGAAGGCTGCACAGGATGAGTTTACAAATAGCTGTTTAAGCTAAGGCATTTCTGCTTCTTTTCTTCTTCCTCCTTGAGACAAGACCTCAATATGTAGCCTGCGCTAGCCTCACACTCACGATCCTCCTGTAACAGCCTCTCACATGCTGGGATTACAGGTGTGCCTCTGTCATCAGTGTGTACCATCAGTTTGAACAAGCCCTATTTTCCATGTACCTTTGTGAATAACAGCCATAGAGCTGTGCTTTCTAGACCTAGGGAAGGCTTTGTTTTGTTTTGCTTTTCGTAAAGATGCTTTGAGGCAGTGATCTCATCCAACTAAATTAAGTCGTGACTAGCTGCTGCACTAGGCTTCAAGCAGCCTGTAGACACAGCACATTCCAACCAGGAGCAAGACAGGTTTTAAAGGACTCAATTTTCCCACAGATAAACAAAGTGATACATGCTCTATTTTACATCCTCCACTCTAAGAGATGCAGAGCTAGGAGCTGATGTAGATAGGGCCAGCACCCAAGTGGAATTGGAATGGATACGGTTCCTATTTTAAAAGTCACTGAATCAAATCAGCTGCATTGTGCCCTACCCACAGAAGAGGGTACTCTGACCAGCAGGCATGACTATGCCCATCTGCTTGGCAGGAACAGTGTGCTACTATGAGAAACGTGTGGGCTTCATTAATATAGCCATTAAGCCTCCTTCCACTTTCAGAGCTCAGAATCTGTGCCCACCGAGCAGCCTTCCAAAAGCAATGGGGGTTTCTTGCTTTCTTTTTCTTTCTTTCCTTCTTCCTTCCTTTTCTATTTAATTTATATATATATGTGTGTGTGTGTGTGTGTGTGTGTGTGTGTACACACATAAGTATAGGTGCCCCCAGAGGCCAAAAGAGGGCATGGACCCCCTGGAGTTGAGCAGTCATGAGCTGCTGCTGACATGAATGCTGGGAACAAACTCAGGTTCCTCTAGAAGGGAAGCAAGTACTCTTAACTCCTGAGCCATCCACTAGGCCTCAGTAACACAATTTTCTAAGTAGACTGCCCTGAAAGGGATAAAATATGAAGACTGCCCTGCCAAAGAGGCCTAATCAATTCAGGAGGTACTGCTCTCTGGAAGGTGATGAGTGGGCATTTCATACGAAAGGCTTGTGAGTTCTGTTAGCCTGGGTCAGTCCCTGTGAAAACAGTCAATGGTAGGGAGAAAAATGGCCCAAAGCCTCACTTTTTTTTTTTTTGTCTTTTTGAGACAGGGTCTCCCTGCAGCCCCAGCTGTCCTGGAACTCACTATGTAGACCAGGCTGGCCTCAAACTCACAAAGATCTGCCTGACTCTGCCTCCCAAGTGCTGGGATTAAAAGCATGCACCACCACGCCTGGCAAGCCTCACTTTTAGACTTCCGAAAGAACAGAGGTCTAAGGCCAGTGATGCCCCTCCAAGTTACACCTCCTGAGAAATCTTTCCAATTTAGTAACCTTCTCTCTCAGAAAGAGAAGAGAAGCTAAATTGCTTTTAGGGAATCTCTCATTCGGAAGACCCTTTCCCACTCAGATTATAGCGAAGACATAAAAAAGGCACGAAGCAAAGGAAGCAGAGCTGGAGAGAAGGCTTGGTGGTTAAGAGCAAAAACTGATGTTCTAGAGGACCCAAGTCCAGTACCCACATCTGCAGCTCCAACTACAGGGGATTCATGCCCTCTTCTTGCCTCTGTGGACCCTGCACTCATATGGCATACACTTACACAAACATCTAAATAAAAATAAAACAAAAAAAAAATACATGCAGTATGGTAGTGTACATCTGTAATCTCAGCACTTGGAAACAGAGGTAGGAGAATTACAAGTTCAAAAACAGCCCGCGCTACATAGCAAATCCCTAGCCCAGAACATATAAACCAGGGGGCTGAAGAGATACTCAGCAGTTAAGGGCACTCTCTGCTTTCGAAGAGGACCTGTGTTTGGTTCCCAGCATCCACATGGCGGCTAATAACTGTCTCCAATTCCAGTTCCAGGAGATCTGATGCCATCTTCTGGCCTCTGTGGGCACTACATCCACACTGTACACATACATACATGCAAGCAAAACACTCATACACATAAAAATAAATCAATCTTAAAACAAAAAAGAATTTTTTAAAAAAACAAACTAAAAAAGCATGAAGCAGAATTTATAACTTTAAAAAAACAGAAACACAAATGAGAATATGCAAAACAAAGCAGCAATGTTAGAGAGAGTACCGCAAGACATGAGATATTATTTTTTTTTCTAACTATTAAAACCAAAGTAGAAGATCAGGTAAACAGGCTGAAATGAAAATCTGAAACACAATGATGACTGCTTTAGCAGAGTAGTCATATAAAAATAAAGGAGGAATTTTTCAAGGTATTACAGGAAGCAGGCACTGTCAGTTATGCTAGTGCATTAACTCCAACACAGGAGAATTCTTACATAAGCTATCTTTCCACTCATTACCCATACCCATGAATCATCATTTTCCCTCTTGACATCTCCCAGAGTAAATAAATATCCTTGACACCACTCTCATCCCAGGTGAGGCCTTCTGAACCTGCCAGTGCTGCTCCCAGACCCACCGTGAGAGCCTGGATCTCCTCTTCCGCTTCTGCTGTCGTCTCCTCCAGCTCTGTCTTGGCCTGCCGAAGCTGGCTCTCCAGGGCCGCACGGGCAGCCTGCAGGGCTGTCAGCTGGGACTCACGCTCCTGCAGAGACAGCTGCAGCTCTGTGAGCTGGCGCTTTAGCTCCAGCTTCTGCTCCTCATGCTCCAGGCTGACCTGAGAAAAGGACACAAGTGTTCAGTGGACAGGAATGGGAGAAGCTGTGAAAATACAACCTCCTGCTCAACCTGAAGCTTAGACCTGGCCTGGGAACCAACTTCTCAGCCTCAGCAGAGAGGGTGATAAGTAATAAAACGGGTTCAACTTGTGAGCATCTCAGAAATCAATGAGACTGAGAATATGCAGGAGGATGTGCAGTGAACCTTCCTGTAGGTTTCGCCTCCAAGGAGTCAGCCAATCATGGGTTGAAAATACTCAGAGAAAAAAAAAAAAATTGCACCGGTACTGAACACGTATGAACATGTGCAGACATGTCATCTTTCCATAAATGGTATTGTATAACTATAAAGAATTTGCATTGTATTAAGTATTCTAAGTGATCTAAAGTATGCATAAGGATGTCTGTAGGTTTTATGGAAGTACCACTCCCTCTTTCAAAAGGGACTTGAGCATCCACAGATTTTGGTATAAATAAGGGGAGTCCTAGAACCCATGCCCTGTGGGTACCAAGAATGTGTATACTAATAATCCCTTACTTAACGAACATTTAAATGCCTGAGAAGGCTACAAAAGAAAAACCATACAGCAAAGGTCTTGAAAATTACAATTATTCTTATTAGAAAAAGATTTAAAGGTAAACGGAAATAGACAACACTGAATTAGTAACAGAGACACCTTTATCATCAGAATGTTCTTCCAGAGGACTTGAGTTTGATTCCCAGAACCCACATCTGGCAGCTAACAGTCTATAGCTCTGGCTCTAGGGGATATGATACCCTCTTCTGGTCTCTGCATGCATCTGTATTCATGTGGCATACATTCACACAAACACATATAAATACACATAAATAAAAATAAATGTTTTTAAAAAGAATTAACAGGAATCAAAGAAAATAAGAGGGCTAGAGATCAACACAGTGGTAGAGCTCTCTGGCCTGGCACACACAAGACCCTGACCAGTTTCAACTGGGATTTTTCAGACAGGGATAGTGAGATATCCAAAAGATATAGAAGTAAGCAAGATTGCAACAGGTGCAATGACTTCAACAGCACTGACAAGGCTGTTCCAGGGAGCAATGCCAAGCAAATAAGAGAAGTGACCTGCACTCCGGGGCTATCGTGACAAGGCCACAGCATGAGCTCAGCACACTAGGCTAGGGATACATGGAAGATAACCCAGCAAAGAGGACATTCAACTCCCGGGTCATTAAAGAGAAGAACTGCCAAATAATTAAATAGACTTCATGACTAATTTGAGGTGGGCCAGGGAACAAAGGACAGAGGGGAATTAAAAAGTATCTGTGGTATGTTCTAGAGAGCAAGACCATGGGCTACCAACAGAGCAGAGAAGAGGAGTCAGTATGAGGAGAAAGATAAAAAGATTCAGTACTAATGTGTTGAATCTGACCCCTATAGGAGACATCCAAGTGCAGAGGTCCAAGGAATATTGTTAACAATGGCTCAAAAACTCAAGAGAAAGATCTGGCTGCTAATCTAGATCTGTGAGTCCTTAACAACTTAGTGGTGGCTAAAGCAAGAGTCGAAGATCCTCCAGCAACAATGAAGATGATGTGACAGCAGAAAACAGTACTTACAACATATCAGGCACTGGATTAACTCACTGCATTTCCACAGAAACCCAATAAAGGAGGGGTTACTGTTAGCTCCACTCTATAGATAAGCAAACTGTTGCACTCAGAGGTTAGGTATTTAAGCAAATGTTACATAGCTTTTTTAAAAGGCAGAGTTGGAGAACTAGAGAGACAGCTCAGTGGTTAGGAGCACTGGCTGTTCTTGCAGAGGACCCAGGTTTAGTTACCAGCACCCACATGAAGGATAATAACCATCCGTAACTCCAGTTCCAGCAGATCTGATGCCCTCTTCTGGCCTCCACAGACATTGCACACATGGATATACTTATATGAAAGCAAAACCTTCATACACATAAAATACAAATAAATAAATAAAAACAGGACAGGGTTGGCATTCAAACCCAAGAAGTCTGGTGTGAGTCTATGGTTGCTAACGCTACACTTTACTGTTTGTCTTACTGAAATGCCAGCTGTCAGAGCAAGCTAGGACTCTATCAGTGAGACTGAAAATTCTCCAGATGCCCTTGGCAAGACCATGAGAGGCATAATAAGCCAAGGAGAGGTCAGGGAGCCAGATGCTGGGCAATTAAAGGAGAGCCCAGAAGCCTGGAACCTTCCCCAAGATGCCACAGAAGAACTACCACTGCACACAGAAACTAGAGAGAAGGCTCAGGGCCCCTTATGGTGGAACAGACTTAAGGTTGTGGCCTCTGCCCTCAATCTCAATAGTAGCAAGTCACCCAGAGATGGACTGACCTTTTTATATTTAGAGCTAAGTGCTAAAACTCCCAGGGAGAATATAGAGCCCTGAGCCTTTTATGAAACATTTGAAGTTTCTCTTACCATCCTGGGGGTGAGGGGAGCAGTTAACTATACAGATTCAAGAGTGGAAGGGGGAAAAAAAAAAGCAACAAGCTTCCCTGGGGACACTGTGATTGCCCAGATGAGCTGCTGCTGCTTCAGGGCAGGCTCAGCAAGAGGGGAGTGTGGAAGGGAAAGGCAAAAGATGCTTGATGTTCCCAGGCTGCAGGAATCTATTTATACCATTAGGGCTGACTCTACTGGGAAGAATGAAAATATAACCTAAGTAATATAAGTGAGGTCAAATCCTAAGGCCTTTGGACAAACCACAGCACTTCTCTACTCCAAGGAGAACCTCAATCACCAGGGTACTTGCTAAAAATGCATACTGCATTCCCCTTTCCATTTTAAAATATTTTATGTATTATTTTTATATGTGCATGAGTGTTATGCCTGCATATAGGTAAGTGCACCTGTGTCATGCAATGCCCACAGAGGACAGAAGAGGCTGTCGGATCCCCTAGAACTAGAGCTACAGACAGTTAGCTGCCATGTGGGTGCTTGGATTAGCCATCTCTCCAGCCACCCTCCTTTCCATTTTAAAAAGCTGAAGATAAGGCAGGCTTGCTGGCTCACGTCTAAAATGCCACTCAGGAGGCTGAGGCAGAAGGATCACAAGTTTGAGGCCAGCCTGGGCTACAGAGTGGGACCCTCAAAAAAAAATTATTAAGATATGTTTTAAGACATTCTGGATGATCCTAATGGAGGGATCCCACCTTGACAAGCTCTAGAAACATGAGATGATACTGTTTCTACCTCTGGAGAAGTGACTTCACTTTCAAGGTTCCAGTCAAAGTAAACACACAAGTAACCATGAGCAATCTTTCTCCACAGTTTAGTCCCCAGATCTGTCTGCTTAGGAGTCTTTTCCTTAAGAAAGATCACCTGTTCTGTGAAGAATTTCCTCATAAATATTTGAGTATTTACTATGCATGAGGCACTGTCCTCACTCCCAACCCAGTGTCTGACTTGAAACAACTGCTTTCCAGTCCTGCTTATTCAGGGCCAGTTAAGCTAGAAGCCTCCGAGGTCAGAAATACTCATCTGTATACCCTGGCTAATAACTGGCACACAGCAGGTGTTTAATAAATACACAGTGAACACTTGCATAAAACTCCTAGTTTTAGTCAACCTCAGCACCATCCCTAACCAAACTTGCTAGAGTTTCCTCACAAAACTATGGCTTTTCTTCCTAGACTCCCAACATCTCTGAAAAGAACTACCTTCCATCAAGCAAACCTAAGTTTGGTTTTATCTTTGAATATCCTGTCATTCTGAGACCCTTGCTGCTGTCACTGAGTGGTACTGCAGAGCCAGTTCAAGCATGGACAATACACTTGTGGCCTTCATTAAATCCTGCTAAAGGAGGAAGTGCTCAGTCCCTATTGGACAGGCGCGCCAATTGGAAAGATCTAGATAATCCTCACATAACCCTAAAAGGGAGAATCCGCACTGACAGTTTACAGAGGAGGAAACTGAAGCAGAGAGATATTAGGTAGCTGCGAAACTATGAAAAGAGTTTACTAGAGGGCAGCATGTTATGGCATGTGCACACACACACACACACACACACACACACACACACACACACACACACACACTCACACACTCATACACAAGTTTACTAAACTAGTAAGAAATTGAGGTAAATTTAAACCCAGAGCCATGTGGCCAACTGTGTACATGTATTCACCATGTGCAAAGCCTTCTGAATATGTTATCAATTTACCTGTGAAAGCTGCCTGGGTTGCAGCCTGGGATTCCCCCAACAAAACCTCTCCAAGATCACCCTTACTCCTCACCTCCCTCAGCCTCGTCTCCAGCTCCAGCAGCCGATTCTTGTCACTGTGATCTTGGTGGCTGATTTTCTCCAGCTGTTCTTCTAACTTTCGGTTCTGGGCCTCCAGTTTCCCAGCCTGTGTCTCCAGGTAAAATTTCTGCTGCCTGAGTTCTGAAATCATCTCTTCCTGGGCCTTCCTGGTAGGGGTGGTGGGAGGATCCAAACAGAATCACAGAGCTATCAGAGACAACATGTCTCCTCAGGAGGACAGGTAGGAATGGAACGAGAAGGTACATCTTCAATAAGTGGGCTGTAATCATTGCAGGGTTAGCTGCCTCTTAATCTAGTCTCATGGGCACAGCATGAGTAACCTGGGACCATTTAAGTCACCAGTGCCTCGCGTTCCTCACCTGTGAGATCAAATATGGTCAAGGGGGCTACAAGCAATACTAACATTTCAATCTTTGGTAACTGTTTTCTTTAAAGGCCTGTGGCACATGCCTTTAATGCAAGCACTTGGAAGACAGAGGCAGACAGATCTCTGTGAAATCAAGGCCAGCCTGACCTATATAATGAGCTCAGGCCAGCTGGAGCTACAGGGAAACCCTGCCTTAAATAAATAAAAAGAAGCCTATACAGGAGTGCAGAAAGGGGCTTCCTGTGAGTACAGGAGTGCTTCCAAGAGCTTAATAATGCAGGCTCTGTGGAAGGCATTGCAATGGAGAGAAAGAATGTTGCATGCTGCTCTTTCTAGAACTCTGTATGGTTTCCTCACCTTTCTACCAACTGTAACAAGTACCAAAAACTAGAACTAAAGGCCAAAACGCTGCCTACCATACCAGTTCAGATTCAGATGGGAATGTTTTCAACGATCTCGGAAAAGATTCCTAGAAAGTACAATCCCTCAGGCAAAAAGATTATGATCAGAGCACTCACAAACACAGACAACTCCCAGTCAGAGCTACCTACAGCAGAATGGATAGCCTAGCTGGGTACACACAAGATCCCCTCCTACTGATTACAGCAGGCAAATCTGGGTAAGAGGGACAGCAGTTTTCCAAAAGCAAACTCTAAGTAGTCGCATTAGCCACAGTGAAGTACTCTGTAATCTGATAGTCATTTGAGGTATTTAAGAACACCTGACTCAAAAGAGGCCCCAGTGGAGTAAGACCACTCAAAGGAGAGCAGAATTACAGAAGTATGTGTATGAGGGCTGGGTCAGGGGAGATGGGCTGAGTAAGGTGCAGTCAGAATCCAAGCACTTACATGTTCCTTTGGGTGAAGAGACTGCTGTTTGCTGCAAGCTTATTGGCCTCAGACAATTCCACGATCCTCTGTTCCAGGGATCTGATCTTGGAATCCATAGCATTGATCATCTGAAACCCAGGAGACCTTTGAACCCTCACATACCAACAGTTCCACTAGAGTGGGATGAAGGCAGGCCACATGGGCCAAAATAAGTCTCCTCTAAAATGTTTACAGATTGGCCAGAGGTCATGAGGGACGCAACCAGTCTGTACCCTGAGGATCACAGATGTAACTGCTCAATGGATTAGGCTCAGTTATTTTATCAACAGAAATCAACATCTCCACACTAAGTGGCCTGCATCAAAAACATATAGAAGGGATGATTTGGGAAGCTGCCATCCTACATAGAGGCAGGCCTCTCTATATCCTGGTATCATGCATATATTCCCCGGGCCTCCAGGAGCATCTAACTTGAATGTACAAGTATACCGGTATCACATCATATTTCTCTACATCAAAGTTTTCCCAAATTTCTAAATTGTAAGTACTGGGGGTGAAGTCTGGTGGGTGCTGGCTAAAAATATAACTTGGGTCAGGCATGGTGTTACACACATTTGATCCCAAGCATTCAGGAGGCAGAGGCAAGTGAATCTCTATGAGTTCAAGGCTAGTCTGGTCTACATAACGAGTTTCAGGCAGCCAAGGCTACATAGTAAGAGTCCTCCCTTTCATTTTTCTTGGTGGTGGTATGAGGGATCAAACCAAGAGCCCTTATACCTGCTAGGTGAGTGCTCTACCACTAAGGTACATCCCCAGCCCTTCCCTTAGATATGCTGAGGTGGAAAGCCTTCACCAGGTCTGGGGTTTACAAGCATCACAGGTAACTCTCCTGAACAGTGAACAGGTAAGCAAACACCAGAGATATACAGGAGACTGAGGGCCACTGGGCACTCTGTCAGGAAGAATTCTAATGGACCATGCTGCAGTGGGCAACAGATTGGTCATTAAAGAGCTTAAAACTGGTCAAGTGGAGCCACTGTTCTTTCGAGACAGGAAGCTGTTTCAGAAAAACCTTCCTGTTACCTACAAACCCTGTGTCACTGAAAGAACAAGCTACAGGTCAAATGGGAGTTTCCAAAGTGAGTCAGTCTTTGCCTGCATCAAAAGTCCTTAGAAAGTTGGCTGTGCGCGCTCTGCTACCTACCGCCTTCTGCTCGCTGAGGATCTTGCCCTTCTCATGAGCCTCCTCTTCGTGTCGCTGCATCATGTTCTCCAGACTCTCCTTGTCGGCCAAATCTTTCTTTATTTGATTGTCCAACACCTATGAAAACAGAAGAAGTGAACATCCTAGGTAGCCAAGGGGGGTTGGGCAGGGGGATAAGAATCACTTGAGCAAAGGAGGGAAGCAGAGGCCCAAGGCCTCTAATCCCTAAAACAAAGAGATGACAAAAGTCAAGAGTCTGTGTACCAACCAGAATGAGACTAGGAACTATTGCCACCAAATGGCAAAGAACAGGTAGATTTGAACTAGGAACTAATCTAAAAATAATCAGCCCAAAAGACCAGAGAGAGATTCGGTGTGAGCTAGACTCTAGAACAAGAGAGAAAAAGCTCTAATTATCTAGACTTGGAAAATAAAGTTCTTATTTGCTAATATTACCTGGGGACAACTTTTCCTTAGGCAATGCACTAGTAGTTTTCAGAGCATTCCCTGTTCCTAATTTGTACAAAATGAATGCTAGATATTCCCAAGCTGTCTCTCTCAGGAGGAGAGAAGCTGAAGACGGAGGAAGTCTGGGTGACCAGGGAAACAGTCAGGGACAAGATGACATTGCCCACCAGTAATGAAGGTGGGCAGTCAATAGGCAAGAATATAAAAGAAAAAAAATGCTTCTTGCCTCTGATCCAGCTGGAATAGAGAGTCCTTGGAAAAAGAAGACTTTCCCAGGGGAGAGAAATCATATGTTCTCGAGCTATAAGCCACTGTAAGCACCTACTATTCCCAAGAGCAAAAAATAAAACAGTAATGGTGTCACCAACCACCAGCTCAATCCAGTGTTCTGCGAGGCACACAGCCTACCAATTGCCAAAACACCAAGAGAAACAGGAAGGAGCGAAGACATCATAGCTCCCTGAGCCTTTGACCAAGAGCCTATGCTTCTCATCACAAAGAATTCATTTTGCTTTTGTGAATGACACCAACTGCCATCAAGAACAACAACAGGATATTGGGAATAAAGCTGCCAGAATTGGGGTCACAGATGGGATCTGAAATCTGCCTTTCCCACAATGTCTATTGTAAAGGGCCCTTCATAGCTCATGGGGACATCGTCCCTAAAAAAAGTCAGTCAGCAGGGATGGAGTCCATATGATAAAGGAAAGAACAAATTTCAAAGATGGCTTTAAACTAGAACTGATTGATGAAAAAAATAGAATGAGAGTTGGTGGAGAAGAGCAAAAGGTGTAGAGAAGGGTCAGGAGGGAGCAAGGCAGCCCAGCAGGATGATAAAGTAGCCTGCTCTGTTGGCTGTCTGAGGGCGATTCTAAAATTATGAGCAAGAACACAGTGGAATCCAGGGTATGATAGGACTATTACCAAAATGGCCTTCTAAATGCTGGAACCAGCAACACAAAGTAGAAAAGGTTAAAAAGAAATGGCTTTGTGCAGGTTTCAGTAGAGAAGACAGAAAAAAACAAAAAACAAAAAACAGACTTTTCCTGAACATTCCCTGGGAGCTATAAAACAAAGCTCTTTCTATCTAGAAGACAATAGACTGAACAGCACATATAATATCCAGACCAGATAGACTCCTTTTTATATGGGCTGCTAAAGAATGGAAGACATTTTCAGGATAACTCTGTTCCAAATGCGACCCCGACCTTGGCAGTGGTGGATACCAACATCAGCTACACCAGGAGCAGAAAGGGAAAATGCAAGTCTCTCAAATGTGGTGGGTTCAACTGACAGAACGACAACAAAGATGGCAGAGGAGGCAGTTGTTTGAAGAACACCTCAAAAAACAAACCTAAATCAACTTAGGACAGAACATGGCTTTTTAAAAATATTATTTTTATCTTACGTGTAGGAGTACAATGCCTGCATGTATGTAGGTGCACCAGTGTCGTGCAATGCCCGCAGAGGTCCAGAGGAGGGTATGGATCTCCTGGAACTGGAGTTACAGACAGCTGTTAGCTACCATATGGGTGCTGGGAATCAAACCCAGGTCCTCTGCAAGAGCAATCAGTGTTCTTAACCGCTGAGCCATCTCTCCAGTCCAGAACATGGCTTGTAATGGGTACTTCAGCATAATCACTGAAACAGCTGATTTCACAAAGGATCATTGCCATCTCACAAGCATGCCAGTAGACCCCTGTATACAGGCTCATCACTGCATAAAGGTCAGTTCATTCCAAAGATAGAAGTAGGGAAATCAGTTAAGAATTCCAAAGTAAAAGGATGGATATATAAAATGTAAAAACCACGAAGGTACAAGGTCCCATAATATTTTGAGGCCACTTCTGGATTTTCCTGTGTTCTTTTAATAAAATAACTGAAAATCATAAGTAAAAGAAAGAAGACAGCAGGATAGTGATGATGGTGATGCTGGGTGAGGATGTTCATGTTTGAGTCTCCAAGAAAGGACCACTCAGCAATGAGGATACTCAATCCACTGCTAGATCATCACAAAAACTAACAACTTCTTGCAATGTCTGGACAGGGAAAAGATCAACTTCATGTATGATATAATGACCGAAGTCTGATTCTTAAATTATATGAATAATTGAAAGGCTTGGTGAGAATCATAATGAAAATACGATGTGATTTTAAGGGAAACAAGCAGATCTCCATTTGTGATAATGCAATGGGCTAGATGAAGCAGACCAGCCCTCCAACTGAAAAAGATTTAAAATTCTGGATAAAACACATGAATATTTATATCCCCAAATGTCCTTCGGTGTGGTCCATCCACTGGAGCCAACCTACCAACAGTATCACATTTAAATGAGATTGACTCTCCCTTCCCGGTAGCCATTGGCTACCAATAGTTCCTAGGTAGTGCTGGGGCCTCTTACCCCCATCCCCACATGTATGCTGTGATTCTGTTTGGCATAAATATATATGTACATATGTACGTACGTGTGTGTGTGTGTGTGTGTGTGTGTGTGTGTAATGATATGTACAAGAACCTAGAGTCAATCTTTACCATCAAAAAAACAAAAATAAAGTTGACAACAGAATTAAAACATTACAGGCAAAAAAACTAAGAAAACGCAGAGTAAGAAAGATACAAAACTGTTTTACCCAGGGGCTGGAGAGATAGATGGCTCAGTGGTTAAGAACACTGGTTGTTCTTGCAGAAGACCCAGGTTCAAATCCCAGCACTCACATGGCAGCTAACAACTGTCCGTAACTCCAGCTCCAGAGGATCCGATGAACTCTTCTGTCCTCTGAGACGTTGAACAACATGGGTGCACTTACTTACATGCAGGCAATATACTCATACACATAAAAATGATAAAATTTTTTTTTAAAGAGCTGTTTTAACCAGAGGCATTTGCTGAACCAAATGATCTTGAGCTTCAATTTGGGGCTGGCTGGGAAGTCTCTGAGATCCAGAGATCCACCTGCCTCTGCCTCCCAAAAGCTAGGATTAAAAGTGAGTTTCAGTTTTGGTAACATCAAACATCAAGAGGGGATAGAAATCAAGGTTCTGATTAATAATTTTCCAAGGAAAAGGAATAACCCAGCAGGCACACCAAAGGAAATACAAATCAAAAGAAAGCAAGAAAAGAAGAAAAAAGCAAATCTTCAAAACACAACTCATCAAACACCTATGCTCACCGTGCTTTGAGAAATAAGAGACTGGAATAAAAGCACACGGAACTAAAAATTATCTTCAATATCCAGTAAACTTGTGAATAGACCGAACAGACTGTCTGTTTAGAAATTTTAAAATTAACATCAAGAGAATGGTTTGACAGTAGTTTAGACACAGTTAAGAAAGAATTAGCAGAGTGTAAAAAAGTCAGTAGAATTTATCTAGGGTGCAGCACAAAGAGAAAGAAATGGAAACTGTGAGAGAGTGGATTCCAGGGATCTAGAGAGTGTCAATTCAAGTCTCAAAGCTAAGGCAAAAGATGAAGAAACAACACTTGGAAAATAACGTCACTTATGTACTACAGTTGAATAAAAATCTGCCAATCTATTGAAAATTCCATCAATTTCAAGCAGGAAAAATGAAAAGAAATCTATACCTCAACATCTCACAGCAAAACTTCAGAATTAAAGACAAAGTGAAACACTAAAGAAAAAGGATAAATCTATTTTCAAAGAAGGCAACAATTAAGACTGACAGATGAGTTCAAAATATCAATACCAAAAGCCAAGTCAATGGAATGTACTGTCACATGTTACCACAACCAACAGAGAATCTAATCTCCAGTTAATAACGAGGGGCAACACAAATTGGACTCAATGAGTATGAGGTTTTTGTTTTGTTTTGTTTTTTAAAGAGGACATGAAGTTGGGTGGAAGGAGTTGGGGGAGAGGACTGAACATCAAAATACATTACATGTATGCATAGTATGAAACTCTCAAAGAATTCATTTAAACTGTATTAAAAAAGAATTAGGGTGGGCATTATCATGCACAACAAATCTTTGCTAATATAAACACGTTAAAAAGATAATAAAACACAAAAGTGGAAGGGAGACTATCTGAGAGGAGGAAGGTGGGTGGAGAAGATATGTGATCAAAATAAATGATACACATTTAAGAAAATATCATAATGAATCCCATTATTTTATATACTAAATATATGCTAATTTTGAAAATGGAAGACAAGGGGCTATAGAGATAGGTCAGCAGTTAAGAGTACTTCCCAGCACTCAAGTCAGGTGGCTTTCAACCACCTGTCACTCCAGCTCCAGGGGATCCAACACCCTTTACTGGCCTTTGGTGGGCACTCAGACACACACACACACACACACATATACATAATTTTAAAATAAAAAATAAGAATGGAACCTCAACATGTAATGAAAAAAGCAAAACTTAAAAAAAATATAAAAAAAAAAAAAAAAAACACCCTCCATACTCCAAAACTTCCCACCATGCTGTAAGGCCAGCATTTGCCCTACACAGTTCTTTGGTCTAGTAACAACTGGAAGAAAGTGCCAAGAAGACAGGGAGCGAAACCGTGCGGGAGTGTCAGGAGAAGAGGAGGTCTTTACTTTAATCTTTTCCTCGTAGTGCTGCTCCTTCTGTTTCAGGTGCACTTCCAGGTGTTGGGCTGAGACCTGAGCCTCCCGATGTTTCTCCTCCAGTTCCTGGACACGAAGGAACAGTCAGTCAGGTATGCACAGGGAAGACTGCTGCAACGTACACTAGACACTCACAGGAAACATGACTGGCACAGGCACCACAGGTGACAGGCAGCTGCTCCTCCATTTCTAGCCTAAGGCGCTCGGGAAGGAAACCACCACCAAGCTTGGCCCTGGTTTTCCCAAGTCCGAGTATACACATACACATATACATGCAGCTGGGATCAGAAATACATCAGTGTGACAGGTCAGACAAAGGCAGTCATTCAACTTTACACATCGAAATAAGGGTAACAAGGCAACGTTTGAAAGTTTAGTTCAGTTCAAAGACCCCTGACCACTGCCTTGAACTTCGGGCCATTTTCCCTGTTATAACGGCCTTAAATGAGAAAAGGGATTTTAATTTATTATGAAGATAAACAATACTTTGTGTCTTCCTCATTCACAAAATGATTACTCAAAAACCCTACCTAAAAAGGAAAGCTAATGTTACAGTGAACATACATATAAAATCTTCACGTGTTGAATGATTATTTTACCTGATTGGTATGTGGAGAATGTGAATACTGAAAGATGTATGTGGGATTTAATGTTTACATGAGCAATACTAATGGGGACAAAGAGGAACATAAAACACACTGGTCACAATGACGAAAATACACACACACCTATCAGAGATGAAGAGAATCTGAAGTCATATCAATAGCAAAATTTAAGGTTCTCCTCTTTTTTTGTTTTCTGCTTTTAAACAAAATTGTAATTCATCTCATAATTATACCAATTCATTTGCCAGTGTATTATAAGCTGATCTTTTGAAAAGGAGCATTCAATTCACTGACACATGCTTTAAATGCAGAGATAGCTGCATCTAAATTAAGTCATATGAATCTGGACCCATTAGTTAATTACTGATATCAAAAGTCATTACCCCCAAGTTTTCATCTCTTCATACTATTATGAAATTTTTCTTTAAAGTGGAAGCAATTATGAGAATTTTGAAGAATGAGGAAATTATACAGGATATGGTCACAAAATGGAAGGGGAAAAATGTACTTTTGAGAATCACACACACACAAAACACTGGTGATGAAGCTTTGGAACTCTGAAGTCTGCAGGCAAAGGCTTTGCTTTGGGGGCCATTAGAATGTTCAGTCTTATAAGACCAGGTGCACAGAATCTCCTGCAATCTACCAGCTGGCATCTTGGGGAGTTGAATGTAAACAGGATTCTGGTTAATAAGAAACATTTCTAAGGGCTTTAGTGTATACTCACTAAAGGACTGCTGGAAATTATTTCTTTGATTAAAGCAAAAGACAGTGCTGTAATGAGAGCCCCAATTATTTGTTTTTGGAAGTTCTTATCAGGATAGCAAATATTTTAAAGCAAAGACATTTATGGGATATGTTTGCAAGCATCATCATGTAACAGTATTAAGGACCACTCTTTGCCCATGTCCCAGATACTCTGCAGTCTAAGCACAGGATTCTTGAGCAAAAGGCACTTTCTGTTGAAACAAAGACAGTCACAAAGGCACTTGGGCAGGTGACAAGATACATTAGGACAAAGAAATTTTACTTTTCTGTTTGGTTACAAATCATTTGATAACCATCTTTTCTTGGGTCCAGTCCTCATAAAATGGCACAGAAATGGAAATCAAAAGCTAAGAATGGGTTAAAAAAGAAAAAAAAAGAGAAAGAAAAGCTACCCAGACACCTGAGACTGACAACGTTGAGACCAAATTTTTGGTCTGTATCTGAACGGGAATTTACAATCCCAGAACCCCACATTTTAATTTCTAGTGAATCTTTGGAAAAACAGATACTTTAACACCTATTTGGTAGTTTTGCATTTTTTGTTGTTGTTGTCATTTTTTTAAGCATGTCTTTTTCTATATGTATTAGATCAACTCTTTAGCTATATTACACAATTACCGGCGTTCACTGCTATATTTCCAGCTCCTGGAACAGGGCCTGGCACATAGTAGAAGCTCAGTAAATATTTGTTGAATGAATGAATGAACACATCACCATTAAACAGAGAAAACATTTTGCAACCACAAGAGAGTTAAACACTTTGTTAACTTTGTTAACTAAGCAAGCGATAACAGTGGTGGGATCTAACCTTATTCATGATAAAATTCACACACTTGACAAGAGTCAAGAGAAACTTTGATGACAGAACAAAGGGTTAGAAAGAGTAGACTAACATTTGTCCTTGTGTGTAGACACAAACACACACAGAGACTGGGTGTCAAAGCAAAACAATTTAACCAATTCCTCTTTTACTCATTTGTTGAAGAACATTCTTACATTTGTGAGCGTATGTAGAGAAAGTCTATCAGGTGTTTCACGGTTTATATTAAGTACTGTGGAAGCCTGGCTGCTCCTTGAATTCATACAGGTGCTAGTGCCTCATTCCCAGAAGTGACTCAAAAGAGAGGAAGCTGCCTATTCACCACCTTACCTCCTTCTAAGGGACAAAAGGGGGATCATGTGTAAAATCTAACTCATTGCTGAACCTCTCAAATATCACATCAAACTTCTGGCTTTGGGACTAAGATCCAAGGACAGCCCTTCAAAGGCTCTGCCTTCCTTCCTGGTCAGTGCTAAACACCAATATGTCTACAGTCTCAACCACCTGAGCGAACATTCCTTGATTAAGTTTATTTGCTCCTCAGGGCCTAAGACAGAATCAAAATGATTACAAATGGAACAGGAACCTTGCTACACTAAGGAAATAGGGGAAAGGTAACAACAGCAGCAGCCAACTGCAGCAGAGTCAGTACGTCAATGCGGGTCTGTGACAGAAACTACTTGGAAAAAAACAATTCTGTACAAATAATTTCTTCTCTAATAGCAAGAATCTGGGTTTTGGTCTTAAAAGTCTAAAATCCCTATAGCTTTAAACATTGTTATTGCCAAGTTAACACCCATACAACACTGCTGATAGGATATAAATGTTCATCTAAAAATGATAAATGTCAAAAATGATAAATATTCATTTTAGTAAAAAATGCCAGGCAATAGCAAAAATAGTAACAACACTGATGTGTCCAATACCACTGATGGGTCTCTTACAACTGAAGGGTCTCTTACCAGTGTGAGTCTATTATTACCAGGGTTGAAGTGTCCACTATTGGGATAGTCATGCTAATCTATGATGCGGCACACACTGAAAGCACTTCACCTCTCTCCATTCACCTACTCGGCGACACCTCCCCTGGGATGGCATTTAATGCTTCTCACCCACTTCCCTTCACAACCTCTAACCTGTTATCTTTGAACTTTGCAACTTTCGTTCCTGCTCACCAGAATTTTATCAGCCATCTGCTGGATCTGTTGGGATTTTGTCTGGATGTCATCCTTCAGTCTGTTTTCTCTACGCTCCATGGTCTCTAGCCTCTTTACCTTGTTCTCCAGAGAATGGCGGCGTTCCTGTAGGTCGTGAATCAATCAGAGAGTTTTAATGGAGCAACTGCTGTGAGCATACCACCTGCACCGAGGGAAAGCGCCCTCAAGAAGCGTACACTGGAGTCAGGAAGAAAAGTCTCAGGCACCTGAAGCAACGGTGAAGAAAACTCTATAATTCAGGTGCTCAGCTGTGTCGATTACAAGAGTGCATTCATTCATTCAAATATTTATCAAGCACCTACTATCTGCAAAGTACCACACTAGGCACCACTGGAAATACAGAGAAGAAGATGACGTCATTCTGCCCTTGGAAAAGATAAGACAAACACAAATAAACACAACACAGGTTAAGAGAGGGCAGAACCACAAGCAGGTAGGAAGTGCTACAGGAGGTGACAGGCACAGTTGAGGAGTGGGGGGATAGCAGTATATAGGGAGGTCGTTTGGAGTAGAGAGGGCAGGAGAGGTGAGGGTGGTTAGTGGGGAACATGAGGACACACACAGAACAGTCTTCTGTACAAAGGGAGGCTCATCAGGGGAAACGAGGAGGCAGTCAAAAGGCAACTTAGACTCTAGGTGGAGTCTAGACTGCATCGCTGGTTAGGGGAAGAGCAAGTGAAAGACAGAAGGCAGCCTCTGAAAGTCAAACGACTGCGGGTTTCAAAGATCCTGGGTGCACCCAGGCTCGGGGGCGCACCTAAGATATATGGAAACCATGAAAGATTTGGGATGGGGCTGGAGTGCTTGGGGGTCCATAAATCTTATACTGTGTAGGCTAAGTGGCAGTAAGGCAAGATTTGGAGCCAAAGATTAAGAAATTGTTGTGCTTGCCTAGCTCAGAGAGAAGGACCAGACTAGGAGGGTTGCAGGAGCGGAGGATGAACAGGAGAGTCAGCATGTTTGTATTTATAGGACTGAGTGACTCACTGGAAGGCCACATCTAGGGACAAGCAGATGATGCCAAGGTTCCAAGCTGGGGTAACCAGAAGAATACTGGGGACCTGAACCAGCATGAAGAAACTGAAAAGGGAAAACAGATTCTGGGGGATGATGTCGAGGTCATTCTAAACTTGAGGCACTGTTTAGACATGCATTGGACAACAGTGGGAAATAACTGCAGGTGAGGACAGCCCCCCAAAGAGCCACGTACTGGTATAGTCACACTCAGACTGTGGTGTGGAAATGTAGAGTCAGCAACAGGACAGTGAAATCGACTGTGTCACATCCATTCTGTGGGACAAACACAGAGCTGGGGAAGGCAGAGACGGGTGAAGAGGAGCTACTTTGTACTCTAAGTTTGTCTTCACTGTTTAAGTTTTCACAATGAGAAGACACTCATGTGTTTCAGTGTAATTATATAAATGATTTCAACAACAACAACAACAAAGAATCGGAGGGAGAGAACAGCCTAAAAATATAAACCTGAGAGTCACTGACACATCGATAGGAGTTTGTAAAGCCTTGAAAACCAATGTGGTATATTAACATTGTGCTAGAAACAGCAAAGCAAACAGGGAAGAAAAAGAAAAACTTGCAACTGCAGCCACAGAGAGCCTAGATAAATATAAATTTTTCCAGATTAGTGAGGAGGTCAGAAGAAAGCAGAGAGGGAACCTTATCCAGATGCCTTTTGCCTTAGAGCTGCATAGACAGGCTTTGCTTTCCTCTTAGGAGAAGTTTTCCAAGCCTGTCAAGTTTCAAAAGAATCTTTAGAGAGGAAAAGTTTGGTCAAACATAAACAAGTAATGGTTTACAGTTTCTTTCCCTTGGCATAGACAGGCTCAAAACACACAGTCACTTGGGGTCAGTTCACCGGGCTGAAGGAAGGACCCTGCTCACCTCAGCTTCAACCAGCTTCTTTTTGATGCCTTCAGAAGAATCTTCTCGGTTCTGCAGCTTCTCCAGCTCCCTCTCGGCCCGTTCCTTTGCCTGGCGGATATTCTGCAGGAGCTCGGTGGCCTCTGTGCTGGCCTTTACCGCCTGACACGGAAGAAAGGACAGGACATAGATGTCTAGGTTTTATTCATGTGAAAAACATGGTAATATCCTAAATGGAGAAAGCAGGTAACACTGAGCATACATTATATCCATTTTCAAAACATAAGCATTCATTTATTGTGTATTTTGTACTAGGCACATTTTAAAAACATACCATGGAATTTGGAATACATCCTATAATTATAATTGATGCATTTCACTTTCTTGGGGTAGGTAACAATCATTTGTAATGAACCCAACAGAAAGGTGTAGATGGACTGATCTATCTAGGAATTACTATAGTTGCCTCTGACCATTGATTTCCTTCTTATTTGAATGATCTCATTTGCTAACTTTCCTAGAAGGAATTGTACTTTTTCAAGAGCAAACATCTTCAAGAGGAAAAAATGATGAAATGCTATTCAAGTTATGACCTTTCAAAGAGAGTAATAGCCACAGTGTTTGTGTAATTCACAAATCTATAATTATCAAAAAAGAAAAGTACAGCTAAGCCTCTTAATTTTGTCATGAGTTTTTACTTGGGTCCTAACTGCTCTGAAGTTCTTACAGTACTGTAGGTAATATCTGAGTTTATGAGATATCAACCTTATATGTACTAGCTTTAACTTAATTTTTTAACAAGTGCAGCCAGTTTTGGTAGTAGTGGCCCGTGATCGCAGCATTTGAAAGGCCAAAAGAGGCCAGAGAGTTGAAGGCCAGTCTAGGCAACATAGCAAGACTCTGTCTGGGGGGTGGGAGGGTGGAGGTAAAGAAAACTCCAATTCTAAGATCTGCACTGTGCCAAATGGGAGCCACACACATGAGGCCACTGGACACTGCAATGTTGATTTTTCAGTTTTATTTTTGAGCTATTCTTAATTATTTCAGTCAAATTAAAGGAGAATTGGTGTTTGATGGGTATAGAGTTTCACTGTTAAATGATGAAAAGTTTTCTAAGATTGATTGCCCAACTACTCGGCTGTACTTAGTACAACTAAGTTCTAAAGTGAAAATTCAATGCCATTTGGAGTTTTTAAATCACAGTAAATTAAAAAAGAATATCCTCACTGAACCAACCAGCAAGCACATGAACAGAAATCCTGATGTGGAAAGCATGTTCCTAACCAGATTCTCACTGCCCTGTCACTGAGCATTTCTAGTGTTTCCAATAGAGAAATCTTAAATGTTCTCACCACCAAAAAAGCAAGGGAAGTGATGGGGATGTTAATTAGCCCAATCACTTCACAGCTGAACACATCTCTCAAAACACTATGTTGTACACTATAAATATATACTTTTTATTTGTCAAGTCTACCTTAATAAAGCTGGAGCAGAGTAAGTCGATAAAATTTTTAAAAAAATATAATTGCAAGTAGGGCCGCAAGCACTGATGTTATCAAACCCACTCCCCTCCATAATCACATCCTGACTCTGACGGACCCTAGGGAAGGAACATTTCTGATCTAAGCAGTCTGGGTGGTGAACAACCCAGGCTTCTCCTACAAGTGTGCAATATGGGGATCCTGGCCTCCCAAGGCACGAGAAGCCGCCTCTGAGTTTCTGTCATTGTATAATTAGAACTTTTACTTCAGAGTCTCACACAGCTTGGTTTTCAAAAATAAACACTGCTGACATGTTGCAAAAGGAAAAAATAAATCAAGAACCCTGATATTTTCAGGTAACAGCACACTCCCCCTTGTTTTCCTCAGTGTTTCATGACTAACTCTGTTTCTTTCATCTTTAGCTCTCTGGGATAAGGCAAAGAAAGGCATGTGGAAATGGGGGTAAGCCCCCCAGAATCACTTGGGGCTTACCTTTTCCAGCTTCTCCTGGAGCTCCTGGATCTTGAGCTGCTGCTCAGCATTGATCTATAATTAAAATCCCGGGAAAGAAAGAAGGCGGCAAATCAGTACCTGCTTCTCGCTACCTGGAGTGCAGTCCTAGTTCCTCCAGGTTTCTGTGGAATCTCTGGGGTTCATTTTCTAGAACTTACTGATGGCAAGCAAAGAACACTGTCCTATCAGAGAAGTCTTTGGGTGGGTAGCCCAAGGCAAACTAGGGTGTGGACTATTTCTCTAGGACTAGCAACATATAAATGACCAAAGAGAGTAGTATCAAGGTTGTCCAGTGACTTAGCACAGTAAGAATTCACTCAAGTTTTACTAATGCCTGGGTTTATGTAGTGCTATGAGGAAGTATGCCAAAATTTTTTTTAAGAAAATGGGGCTAGAGAGATGGCTCAGCAGTTAAGAGCACTGGCTGCTTTCGCAGAGACCCAGGTTTGATTCCCGGCACCCACATAGCAGCTAACAACCATCTGTAACTCCAGTTCCAAGGGATCCAATGCCCTCTTCTGACTTCCACAGGCATTGCATAACAGAGGTATATATTCATACATGCAGGCAATACACTTGTACACATAAAAAATAAAAATAATGAAGGAAGAAAGGAAAGAATGAAGGAAGGAAAGAAGGTAGGTAGTTAGGTCAGTCTTTTAGCTAGGCATGATGGCATATGCCTATAATCCCAATGCTTAGGAAAAGTAGGCAGGAGGATCATCAGTCAAAGGTTGTCCTTAGCTCATATAGAATTTGAGGCCAGTGTGGGCAACTTGAGACCTTGTCTCAAAAAATAAAACCAACAAGAACAACAACAAAACGTACTTTTTATCTCTTGTAGAACCACAGCTAAAGGTAGGTAGACATGGTCACTCAGAAGTAGACCATTAAAATGGAGGGGGCCTGAAGCATAGTTCAGCAGTACAAGGCATGCCTGAGTTCAAATCCCCACACCAAAAAATAAAATATAATAAATTTAGAAGAGTTCACAAGTCATTGCAAAAGTACTCTTAATCAATGACAGTTGCTGAAAATGACACTTATCTGTCCCAAACCGTGAGTAAAACCCAGAAGACACACCTTCTCAAGCTTGGAACATTCTCCTACTTCAGGCTTTCCTTGGTCTTTAGCCTGCAAGTAAGAAGATACACTGTGTTAGGAAATCTCAATACTCTAAAATCCTGTAGAAAACGCTACCTCTTGTACTTCTTGGCCTCCCTGACCAAAATTACAAGGAATAATACTGTTACCCTCTATAAAGACCCAGAGTTTTCGAAGGTGTCTCATTACATCTCAAACCTACATGCATTAAGCTAGCACGACCTTGAATCCTGTCAAGACCATCCAGGGCTGTATCCCCAAAGCCACTCTGGGAGAGGGGCTGATTACCTTCATCAGTTTATGCTGACATTCAGTTGCCTTCCGCTTGAATTCTTCAGCAGCAAGCCGAGACTCTCTCAGCTCAGATTCATAAAGATCGCTCCGTCTTCTGGCTGAGACAAGGTCCTCTTCCAGCTGATTCATCATCAGCCTCATTTCTTCCACCTGAGCCTGGTACTCCTAAAGAGTAGGCAGAGGAATAAAGATGAACCCTGGATCTCCACACCAGAAGACAGGCAGTGGAGATGGATGAGGATCAACCACAGAGGAAGATGTACACTGGGAGAGCGTGGCAAAGGACAGACTGACAGACAGAGAGAGGTGGGTGGAAAGATCTAGAGTGAGGCCCAGTAGGCAAAATGGGGGGTTGTCAGGAGACAAGGAGAGACTATTAAATCCTTAAATTGCTTTAATGTAGAACATGTGTCTTGAGCAAATCTACTGGGAACACACATGCTGATACTCAGATCCTCTGAGCAAATAACCCATACGAAACGCACAAAACCTTCAGGCATAAGCACGCGTGCCAAGGAGGGCTGTTCTCTCGGCGAAGATAAACTGCTTATGTGTAGCTCTCCTCCAAGGGTAACCATGTCTATAGATTTGTCCTTTGGAAGTCACGTGTTCCTAACACAATTAGATATGGTACTAGTTTTAAAATTAACCTTTCAGACAGCACCAGAGGGTAATTGGAAATCTCTGAGGAAAGCATCTGGGAAGGTGAAACTCGTCATTGTAAGTTTCTCATCATTAATTTTTCTGTGCTCAAAACGAAGAACAAACTGAATGCCATTCCTACAGTGCAAGTCGCCCTGAGATCTGGAAGAGCCACAAAACACTGGGCCAGGACAAAATAACTTGCAAGAAAATTTCCTAGGAAGAATCATCTTGTTCCCTGGAGCAAAACCTTTAAAGTGATCCAAACAGCCCAATGTTTTCCAAAACCAATTTTAAAACCAAAGCAGAACATTTGAATCGAGGTGGCTTTGTTTTAATTTTTCTCTCATGATGGATTTACCAGAAGGGGCAAAAGTCTTGAAACCTTAATGGACTAAGTATAACAATATTCTTCAATAGCAAAATCAAAGTTAAGTATGAAGATTATAAACCCTTGTCTGATATGACCAGGGTAGGAAGGAGGGATCCAACAGGAACAAAGAATTAAGCCAAGATTGTCTTTGATATTCACAAACCACAGGAACATCCTTAAGATCTGCTCTCTCGGAAAATAACTGGTAAGCATGACTAGAGAGATGGTGTAGTGAGCTCTGGCTGCTCTTGCAAAGGAGCCAGGTTCAGTTCCCAGCACCCACATGACAGCTAACAACCACACGTAACTCCAGTTCCAGGCGATCCAACGCCCTTCTGACCTCTGCAAGCACTGCACAGCACAGGTGCTCTTACACACATGCAGGCAATATACACATACACATAAAAGATAAATAATAAAATATTTTTTAAAATAAATAATAAGCCAACATGGTGACGCATGCCTTTAATCCCAGCACTCAGAAGGCAGAGGGAGGCAGATCTCTGTGGGTTCAAGGCCAGCCTGGTCTACATAGTGACTTCCAGGACAGCTGGGGCTACAGAGAGACACTGTCTCAAAAAGACCAAAATAAATAAATGAATAAATAATAAATAAATAGTAATGTATCAACTAAGCCAAGATTTATTAAAAATGTCTCTCATAATATGAAAATATATTTACATAATAGTCTTCCTAAACAGCAAAACAATTTGACAATTTGATTTTTGCAAGTTTCATACAATATATTTTTATTATATTTACATCCCCTCCCCTATGTGCACATATCCCTTACCGGCAATGCATACGTTTATCATAAACTCAAACCAAAGTCCTAGCATGGATGTGGAAAAGAGGGTGAGAACCCCAACTCTACCTGAGGAACTATTGGCAACTTATGGCTGCTGGGAGGGGGAGAGTCAGTCTCATTTAAGGGTAAGACTCTTGGTAGGTTAACCAGGCTCCAGTGGTTGGACCTAAACTGAAGGGCATTTGGGGACACAAATTTGACTATAGGCCTTAATATATATAAAAAAGAATACATGAAATAGAACTTTATACATTTATATAAGTAAAAAGGGCTCTGTGTGTGTGTGTGTGTGTGTGTGTGTGTGTGTGTTCAGGTGTGTATGTCATGGCATTAATGTGGGGTCAAAGGACAAGTTCCAGTTTCTTTTACCATGTGGGTACTGGGATCAAACTCAGGTCATCTGACTTCTGAATCAAGCACTTTTATCCACTGAGCCATCCTGCCAGCCCAGCTTATGCTTCTTTAACTGAAGGGTATTTGGTGTGCATTTCATCACATTGTAGCAGGCATTCACCCAGTAGGCACTATTTGGGAGGTGGTATTACTACAAAGCTTACATGGGATTCACACAGCCATACTCTCCCTATATCATGGGGTGTTCAGAGTATGAGCCAGAGATGGAGCATGGCTGTCATTTCACTCCTTCCCACCCAGCAGCACACTGTTACTGAAGGCCAACCTTGGGGTGATAAGCACATAGGTTTCCTGGGTAGTGTACATAAAGCAAGCCATTCTAAATGGCATAACCTCAATCATCTGACCCTTGGAGCAGGACACAACACATATGAAAAATAGTGTATCCTTTACTTGGGTTTTGTTGTTTCGTTCCGAGATCCTCCTCATTCCAGGCTACCGTATACCTTCCATGATTCTTAGCTAGCACTGGGCCTTCCTTGACCCTTTTTTCTATTGGAGGAGGAGAAGGAGGAAAAGGAAGAGGAGGAAGAAGAGGAAGAGGAGGAAGAGGACAGCCTAGTGTAGAAACACATGCCTGTAATCCCAGCACTTGGGAGGTGGAGTCAGGAGGATCAGGAGTTCAAGGTCATCTCAGCTACATAGCAAGAGGCCAGCCTGGGCTATGTGAGACAGGTCAGAAACACCAAAAATACATATATATTTACATATATGTAAATAAACATACACACATACATATATACATTCATATATTTTATATCATACTTTAAAACTACATTTATATAACTACTAAAATGTTATTATCTATAAAACAATACTTGTAACCTCAAAGCTGAATTTTTTTTTTCCACTTAAGACTAAAGAAAAAAATTGAGCCACTTGTGGTGGTTCACTCTTATAATCTCAGCATTTGGGAGACTGAGGCAAGAGGATCCCATGTTTGAGGCCAGCCTGGACTACACAGAAGAGAAAATAAAAATATTTAAATATGCGATTTTTATTACATCAAATTCTCTTCTCATGTCTGCTATGTATACATGCATTTTTATTATCGTGCCACCCGAAAAGTATAGGGGTCCCCTTCCCCCAACCCTACTGTGCCCTAAAGGAAAAGTCACCCCTGCCAACAAGTACAACCCCTCAAACTGTGAAGACAGCAGGACCTAGAAGGTCTTAGGTACCTTTTGTCCTCAAATGCCTCTCCTTAAAAAAAAAAAAAAAGCTTACTCTGTGTGTGTGTGTGTGTGTGTGTGTGTGTGTGTGTGTGTGTGGTGCACATGCCATGGTATATCTGTGGTAGTCATAAGACAACTTGTAGGAATCAGTTCTCTCCTTGCACTCTGTAGGTCCTGGGGATTGAACGGTCATCAGCCTGGCAGAAAGTCTCTTTACCCTCTGAGCCATCTTGCCAGCACTTAAGGTCCTTCATCATTCTTCAACTTAGGTCAGCAAGGAGAGAATGTGACAGCTTTCCTGGAACTTGCTATGGAGAGCAGGCTGGCTTTGATCTCAGAGATTCACCTGCCTCTGCTTCCCAAGTGCTGGAATTAAAAGCGTGTGCCACCACACCCGGGTAATTTTTCCATCTTTCAAAAGCAAGGATAGAGCATCTGTCCCCTGGCCCCATTCCATACCCTGATATCTCCATTTCCTGAACTATCAGCACTAGGAGGGGAAAGATAAGCATCAGAGCTCCTGGGGCACCCTACTGCTACAGGCAGCAGAAAGAATTCTATCTCATCAGCCAACCTTCTGTTATGATAGAGGCTTCAAGGAAACCCTATAAATCCAACAGCTAAGCAAATCCCCACTTCAGGAGGGGTCCATTTTCAAGGGCAGCTAAAAAAGCTGCCATATCCCAGCATGGAATGACTTGTAGTGTTGAGTTGAATGGGCCAGAGTGGGAAAGCAGAGGCAACTCTGAAACACCACCTAAAGCAAGTTTTCTGAAGAGCTTCCGAACTTTGTGAGGAGGTAGCAGGCGTAGCCCTCTTCCCCCGGAAACCCTGAGACACAACCAGCTTCTGTGTTTCACTGTTCCTTTTCCTAAGGGCACTTGCTGTTATGGTGTAGAAATCAAACTATCCCAAGGGACTGGTAGGTGTTTTCATTTTAAACTAAATCCAAATATCCTATAAGGAATAGCTGGGTAAAAGTAGAGGATTTAAAAAAAAAAAAAGCAGTTGTACAAAAAAAAGAAAATTTTGAAGAGTGGAGGATTAATCCTAAATTTCAGAGAAATCAATACACTGAAAACCAAATACTATACGTTTGCTATAAGCCTTAAAAAAGTGCTCTTGGTTTGCAAACATTCTGCTCCCACAAAATGTACCACAAGGCATTTTAACATATCCTCCTTTGAAGAGAAATAAGATCTGGGACAGCAAAGTTTTCTCGCCCCCAATGGAACTTTTAGCAGTCATTAAGTCCAAAACTCCACATGCACGCCGACTGTGGTATGAATCACAAAAGACATTTCTTTGAACTCAACCACCAGCATACAGCTTTCAAAATGTCCTGGTTAATTCTGTTTCTATGGGACGTGGACACCAGCTGCTCCCTCTGGTGGCCAAATGCAGCTTTCATTTCCCCAGGATGCCCCCAAAAGTAAATTTCCAAACTCACTGAACCAACAGGAGAAAAGAGCTAAACCTCCTGAAACTTTCAGGATAAAAAACAACTATGTTGATGAAAGGGGCATGAGTCACCTGTCAAAGCATATGCATGCCTTTCAAAGCCTCTGAGGCAAGTGCTATGCAGGCCTGATAATCCATTTGCAAAGTTCCCTATGCACACTTGTTTATAACATTCTTATCCAGCAGGAGGGTGCTAACCCATCATTTTTGAATATTAAGGTGACAAGTATAGTATGCCAACAAAGTCCCAGAGACAATCATTGCTTCTTAAAGGGTAACTAATGGGTTGAGTTATCTGCAGGAGTTCCTTCCATTCACGTCACCCAGATGGCTGTTTGCACTACCCAGAGAAGAAAGTGCTCACTGCCATCAGTGTTCACATTAGTTTCTGAAGTGAATGAGAGCTGCCTGGCAGTGGATGATTCTGCTCTCCAATTACTCATCGCCATCTCTTCATTAAAGTTTCTATTTACAGTGTCTTCAAAAGACAGAAAAACCCAAGCTAAAAAGGAAACAATGCGTCGATATAAAAATGAGCCATCCGAAAACAAAACCCTTTCAGAAAGAGAGAGAAAAGAGTGGGCTTTTTAAAGGTCTCTGTTCTCTTTTCTGGAAACACAGGGAACTGCTTTGTGTACCAGAGTCACTGTGTTAACTCTGACTGCTCTGAATAGCTCAAACTTTTCTTCTAGAATATTTTTTATATGTATGTAAAACTATGAATGAGCATGGTCTCTCTCAGCAACTTAAAGAGCAAATGAAAAGCTTTAAAAAAATGATTTAGTCCCAGCGCTAGGGAGACCCTGTCTCAAAAAGACCAAAAAAAAAAAAAAAAAAAAAAAAAAAAAAAACCAGTGAGTAAGCAATTTTAGCTTGGTGGACCACAAGATCTCTATGGCAACTACTCACTTCTGTCTCTGTAGCATGAAGGCCACCGTAATCAATGAGCGCAGTTCTATTCCAATAAAACTTTACACAAATTGAAATTTGAATTTTATTAAATGTTCACACATCACGAAATATTTGTTTGATGTTTTTTTTCCTAATCATTTAAGAATGTAAAAGTCATTCTTAGCTTGGGAGCTACAGAAAATAGGAGAAGGACAGATCTGTTCCTCCAGCTGAAGCTCGCACCTCTTGGTCCTTATTTAAAATGGTAGGGACTATGAGTTGCAGACTTCAGAGGGAGCGGAACAGGTAAGCTCTGTGTGACTTATCTAAATCATGGGAAATCTAAAGTCTCCACATGATCACCTTTCTTGCTCCCTCTCTGCCCCTACCCATCTCTCTCACATGTCTGAAATATGGTGGTCTGAGCCAGCTGCGTGGCCACCCGGCTCCAAGCAAGTAGTCATACCTGCTCTTTGATTTCTTGGAGCTTCCGGCTCTGCTCTCTGATGTCATGGAGAAGCTGCAGTGCTTTGTCATCCTCCTGGGACACCTCCATCCGTGCTTGCTCCAAACTTCGCTTTAAGCTCTGCAGAAAGCAAAGATTTTAATAGGGATGCCCCGTGGATCCTGTTCTGGTTGAAAAGGTTCATTAAAAGAGCTGCAAGCTGCTTCGCGAACACCAGGATGGCATTGGGAGATGGACCAAAGTTGACAACTCCCAGCTGGTTGCCGATTCCAGTTTTCATCCTGTGAAAGCCCCTTGGTGCAAGAAATGTCAGCATAAGCTCACCACCTTCCGGGTCCAGCCTGAATTCCATCAGCTCATCTCCTGGTACCACCTACCTATTCTCATAGGTACTTACTTGTATGTTCAGGAGTAAAAACCAGTAAGATCCCTTAGCTGTTACAATCACCATGTCTATGGCTATCTACTATATTCAATAACATGAAAATTATTTCAGGATTCTCATGTATATGTGCCTGTTTCAAAGAACCAGCGGCTTCATTTACTACCCAGTCGACACTACCTGGATACTATCATCTGTATCTTTCCTCAGTGCTTCAGTGGCACTGAGATATACATATGAAATACACAGCTGAATAACTTCACCCACCACTGAAAGGCAGCCAAGTCTGGAATGGAAACATAGCAGTTATTCTTAATCAGCCACGTTCTATAGATTTCCGCTCCCTTGTGAAAAAAAACTTTAGAGATGTGTGATTCAACTTCTTAAGACTATTTAATTGGGCACATTAGAAAAACACCTGAATGAAAAATTTCACGAGACAATGGAAAAGACAGTCTACTCTTGTGAAGGAAAGGAAAAAAATGAAAGTTGCATGGGAAATAATGACAGAGGGTCTGGATCTCAAAGGCTGAGGTTCCTTGTCACTACAATGCTTCTACGGAATAAAAAATTGATTTCAGACAATTCAAATTATGTTTTCTGGTACAGATTTGAGTGTTAGGTTCCCAAGGCTGATCATGTCAGACGCAGTCTAGACCAGAGAGGTTGGGACAGGAGATGACAGGAGATGACAGGCTTCTCTGCAGATAGCTGCAGTGACAGATGATGCCCATCGCCAGGTTGTGTGATGCCAGCAATTCACCTGGCTTTCTGCTGGAAACCAGTCTCGCCTCATTCCTTGGGGACATCATGCCTAGCTCATACTTCTCTGCCAATCATGGATCTTACTTTTCTTCTCTCTCTCTCTCTCTCTCTCTCTCTCTATCTATCTATCTATCTATCCATCTAGGCAGCTAGCTAGCTCTCCCCTCTCTGCCATTGGCTGTGATGTGCCTCATGGAGCTGTCATGAAACAGGATGAGACACACACAACAGGAAGTGCTGCCTCCAAGGGAAGAGGGCTTTGGGGAAGGCTCACACTGCATTCTGTGATGTAGGTGGCAAGGTCCTGCTCCAGGAGGGATCTCTGAGTCTCAGAGGCCTTCAGCTCCACCTCCTTCTGACTAAGCACAGCCTCCACCTCTGACACTCTCCGATGTAACCGGGTCATTTCCTGCTCCATCTGAAATAAACATATTGACTTGTTAAAAAGGCCCTGGAGGGTTCCTTAGGAGCAATAACATCTCAAGCAGCCCCTGAGACCACCTGGTGGTCCACGTTACTGCTAATTCAGCATGAGTTGAAATGGAAATACCATTGCTTCTTCGCCCAGGAGCACAGTTCTTCGAAAGGACAGTCACCAAATGCTAGGTCACTCCTCTCATCCAAGTCCCGCTTCACACTTGATCACTTCTCTAACCCAGTTAGCAAAGAAGCCATCATCGTTTTCACCTGTTAGCCTTTTTTTTTTTTTTTGGTATTGGTTTGTTTTTTACAGGTGTCACTTTAATTTTATCCCAAATCCATCTTGATCCCCCCCCATCTCCTTGCAAAGATCTAGAGGATAGATCCAGGACAGGGCCAAGAGATAATTATTCGTCTGCACTCTTGGGAGTCCCAGGCAAGCAGTGACTTTTATTAAGTTTCCAGAGAGGTGCCTCTGGGCAGGAACAGTGAGCGTTAACAGACGTTGAGCATAATCAACACAGTGGCCGCAGTAACATAAGCAGGTGCTTTTTAAAGACTAGGAAGAGAGACTTCGCCTCACTCCGAGCAGATAGGATGAATCTCAGCCACAGGTGAGGACCCAGGCCAGCTGTGGAAGGAGCAAACATCGGGCTGGGTCATGCTGAGAAACTGGCTGTTTTAAATCCAGGGCCTCCTCTGGTTAAGATTTAAAGGATTTACAGCAACGTCTAGGCCCGAATTCATCTCCCTCTGAGCTGCCGGAGGCGAGACTTCTGCGAGGGAGGCAGCGCCTCGCTCTCTATGGATCAGGAGGCTCAGCGCCAGCAGTGGCCCCCGGCGGATCCCTTGGCATATATTGACGGGAGGATCCTGGATCAAGGACGGAGGCCAACTGCAGAGATAAATACCTTGTGACACTTGTCCTGAGAGTCTTGCAGCTCTTTGCTTTTGATGAGAAGTTTCTTTTCCATGGAGCTAGTCTTGGCAGGGGAGTCCAGACCTGACACAACAGACCTGAATTAAGAAAAAAACAAAGTCGAGTGGTCTGCAGGTGAGCCCAGGAACAGTGTTTGGAAACAGCAGCAGAAATGGCAAACCTGAGTGCATTCTACAGCCACTAGCAAAGCAGGCTCAAGCAGCTTCCGATGACATCAAAGCCACGGGGCAAGAAGTGGAAGTAGATAGGCTTGGTTCAAATTCAGGGGAACCTGAGGCCAAAACCTGGCCTCCCTGAGCACAGTTGTAAGGTGGACTGATGAGAGAATAATCTGGGAAAGTGCCTGGCATGGCACCATTCCCCATTCACTGACAAGTTCAACAAGTACCAAGTGCTCACCCTGTTCCAGTGACCATTCTAGGCACTGGCACACAACAGTGAACAGGACACACAAGGTCCCAACTCCCCCTAGAGCTGATGTTCCGCAAAGGGCAGACAGAATGCATCAGGAAGATTCATAAACACAGAGGTTACAGGTGCGAAAGATTTCCTTGAAAGAAGGAAACAGAATGTGATATGATGATACTATGGAGGACGGGGCTGGGGAACTGTTTTAGTTAAGCCAGTATGAGCAGGGAGGGCTGCTTCAAGAAGGTAGTGTTTGCCCTGAGACATAAAGGGTAAGAAGGGGCTAGTCATACAAGGATCTATAAAGGGACAGGGCACAGCGGACACAAAGGCCCCACATCAGGACAGAGATAACAGAGTGTTTTTAGACACTATACTGATCAAAGTAATGTTTATTCCTTCCCCAAGATAGCCAGCTTCATTCTGTTTGATTTAATGTAAACAGCTCGTGCTTATGAAGGTGAGCCAAATAATGTTCTCACTCCCTTTCCCAAAGATGCCTGTCCTCATCCCCAGAAGCTATGAAGATGTTACCACACATGGCAAAAGGAACTTTGCAGTTGTGATTGACTTATAGATCTTGAGATATGGAGATTATCCTGGATTACTGGAACAGGTCCAATATAATCACAAAGATTGTCATAAGATGGAAGTAGAGGGAAAGAGGAGAAAGCTGACCATGGAGGCAGGGCTCAGATTAGAGATTTCAAGATGCTCCACCACTGGCTTAGAAGCTGGAGAAGCAGGCTGGAAAGATGGCTCAGTGGGTGAAGTGCTTGCTGCGCCAGCACAAAGACCCGAGTTAGAATCTCTAGAACCCACATATGCAGAGCAGTTTGTGTGCATCTGCAATCCCAGGGGTCCCACACGACAGGAGGCAGAGACAAGAGGATCCTGGAGGCTCACAAGCCATCCAGCCTGGCGCATCCAGCAGCAGAACAAAGACCGGAGTTGTCCTCTGACCTCCACCCCAGCGCCATGACACATACATGCTTGCACTCACTCACACACATATACATACACACACAGAGAAAGATGGAGAGTCATAAGCCATCAAGTCACAAGCAGGCAGACTTCTGAGAGCTGGAAAAACAAGGATACTGATTCTCCTCAAAGCCTACAGAGAGCTGTCTCATCTAGGCTGACTTCAGCCCAGCAAAATTCATCTGGGGCTTCTGACTCCCAGAACTTAAAGATATAATTTGTATTAAGCCTCTAGGTTTGTGTTGACTTGTTATAGCAGCAACTAAAACTCATACGCTCATGGAGTTCTAGCCATACACCTGCTGTCTTGATGTCAGCAGATAGGTTTTTTGTTGTTTTTTGTTTGGGTTTTTTTTTTTTTTTTTTTTTTTTGGTCTTTTTGAGACAGGGTCTCCCTGTAGCCCCAGCTGGCCTAGAACTTGCTTTGTAGACCAGGCTGGCCTTGAACTCACAAGAGATCCTCCTGCTTCTGCCTCCCAAGTGCTGGGATTAAAGGTATGCGCCACCACACCCAGCCTAGCAGACAGGTTTTAAACTCTTTATTCCACACAATTGTTGAGGCAAATACCATTTATTGTCTTCATGTTATAGCTGAGGAAACTGAGGCCCTGAGGGGTTAAGGAAGCTGCTGGTTGGTAAAGTTTCCATTAGTCTCAACAGGAAGCTGGGAGAGACTGGCTTGATGCGCCTGAAGAAATGCTCAGGAAAACATCACAAAAATAACCAAACAAGCTATGCAGGGAGTAGACAGAAGAATGTTCTCCCACAGGAAGGCCATACCTACCCACACGCATGTAAGTAACTCACATGTTGCTTACCCTACTCCTAGATGCAGTTAATATGGGTAGAGATGCATTCAGGGCCCATCTAGCAATGGTTGGTATAAACACTGATATGGAAAAAAGGCAATGCCAAGGCAACAGAAAGCAAAAGTTCTTGTGCATAGAGGGACATGCAGAGCCCACTGCTGTCCCACAGCCTCATCTTTGTTGCCTTGGTAACAGAACTGCAGGAGCTGGTTACCAATGCATACTCAGGGTCTTCCCAGCAGGTGAAAGTTCTGTTTTCTGCTGCCCCAGATGACTTCCCTGCCTAAAAGAGGTCAGCTCCCTGCAGCAATGTGAAACATCTCTCTACCCACAGCTGCCAACCCAGTGATAAGAGCTGGCATGATAGTGTTGGCTCGCTGAACCCCAGTGACAGCTCTGTGCTCATCCCCTAGGACAGGAAGCAAGTCAATAGCCAGAATCATGCTGCTCCATTCAAAATTTAACCTGGCACTCAAGAGCTGTGTGAACTCTCTGAACCTCAGTTTCCTCATCTGTAAAATGGAGATAATTTGCAACACACTTCAGAGTCCTTGTAACAATTAAATGGAATAGCACTTGTAAAACCCTAAGTCCTGACACGTTGCAAGGGTTTGACAAATGTCAACCATTACTATAACTGTTGCCATTTTTATTACTATCCCTGCAGCTGTGCAAATAGCACACATCTCACAAGGTTGAAGCAGTTGCTTGAAATGGTAACACTCAGGAGGCTCAATGTTCTGTGTGCTATTATCCACATTAGGACAAATGTTGATTATTCATAGAAATGGGCAACAGGGATTCAAATCCAGAAATAAATCTTTTTTAAAAACTCTCACATAGGATTAGAACTTTTAACACTTTTCACAAGGTTATTTTCTAGCAAAAACACACATGCACACACGCATCCACGCATGCGCCTCCTTCTTGCTTTCATAGATGACATGGATTATTTGGGATGGGCTTGAGTTGCCTTTATTTCTGACTGCACTTTGGTGAGGAGGCTAGAGAACAAGACCCAGGCCACCCAAAGAGGCAGGAATGATCCCTGGTCCTTCAGTGATCAAGGGTCACCTAAATGTCACTAAGGAACACATGACATACATCAAGGATGACAACACAGGCTATAGTCCTTTGCTCCTGAGCACAAACCAGTACCCTTTTAGAACAACAATGGCCTGGGTTTGTGGTGGTGGGGTGGGACACAGTTCAAAAGCCTTAAAGACACATGGAGGGTAGGCTCCAGCAGCGTTAATGTCCATAGTGTGCTAGTCCAGGTACAAAATAGATTGCTTATTCACCCCCCAAAAAGGAAAAGTGTTTCTAGGTCACTCATTAATAAGGAGATGAGCACTCACAGAAGACAGCCCTCCTCATCACCCAAGGTCCAGCTCCCTCATTCTGCTAGTTTGATGTCTGACAAATGCTCTCTTTTTAGGAGTTCTGAGAATGGCAATTAAGAGCTCTTCAGAATAAATATGCTAAAGAAATCATTCTTTTTAGAATAAATAAAAATCGCATCCAAAAAAAAGCTCCATTAAGAATGCTGTGATCAAACTCAGCACGTGGCAATGTTGCATAAACAATAATGGGATTTGGATGGGGATGGAGGACAAAGGTCACTGTAGTGCTTGGCAACTTCCTGGTCCTCAGCCTGGTTGCATATTAGCATCACCTGCTGCAGATGGAGAGCTTGTAACAAAAATTATATGCAGGGCCCACCCAGGCAATCAAATCTGAGCGGAGAGGCTGAAGCTGGCAGCACCATGTTCAATAAACTCCAGAATGACTCTGATGGACCATCACCATTGAGAATCATGGTACTAATTAGAAGAAAGCACTTGTGGTTTAACTCAAAGCTCTAGTGTAACCAGCCTCAGCACTTGGTCCCATGTGGCACTTTGACCTGACCATGTGATACCAGTACTTTGTGGTTAGTCCTTGAGTGGGAGCTCAATTTTAACACTGCTACTTTCAAGACAGGGTCCAGGCATCAGACCATGATCAAGTGACTATTCTGTACCTTTGTGTTTTTCATTTTTTGTTTTTTAAGACAGGGTTTCACTATGTAGCACCAGCTAGCCTGAAACTTGCTATGTAGACCATCCCAGGTTAGCCTCAACCTCACAGTGATATACCTGCCTCTGAAGGTTGGGATTAAACTATTCATTTATTTATTTATTTAATTTAGTGTGTGTGTGTGTGTTGGTGGATACATGTGTACCACAGTGTATCTGTGAAGGTTGGGGAGTTGGTTCTTTCCTTCCACACTGTGGGTCCCAGGGATCAAATTCAGATCATCAGGCTTGGTTTGGTAGCAAGTGTCTTTACCAGCTGAGTCATCTATCCAGCCCCTTTTTATATTTTTAAGACAGGATCTCACTATGTAGCCTAGGTTGGCCTCAAACTCAAGATTCTCCTACCTCAGCCTCCCAAATGCTAGGGTTATAGTCACATGCCACTGCATTCAACTTTGTAAGTCAATTTAAATATACCATCCCCATGGATTTCTACAAAAGAAATACAGTGATGGGTATAGCTCAGAATACTTATTTTTCATGCAACAATTAAGGCAATTAATTCCTAATACCAATGAAAAAAGCTCTAAATAGGTATTTCCTTTTTAACTTGGGTATATGTGCGTGAGCTGGTATGAGCTTATGTGTACCACGTGTACCATGTGCATATAGGAGCCCATGGAAGGCATCAGATCCCCTGGAACTGGAGTTATGGACAGTTGTAAGCTTCCATATGGATGGTGGGAATTAAACCCAGGTCCTCTGCAAGAGCAGTAAGTGCTCCTAAGTGCTGAGCCATCTCTCCAGCCCCTAAATATGTATTTCTTAAAGGAGCTGATTCACACAGCCCAACACAAA